TGCGATCCGTCAAGTTATCATGAATCATCGCAGCAACGGGCAAGAGCCCGCGTCGACCTTTTATCTAATAAATGCATCCCTTCCAGAAGTCGGGGTTTGTTGCACGTATTAGCTCTAGAATTACTACGGTTATCCGAGTAGTAGGTACCATCAAACAAACTATAACTGATTTAATGAGCCATTCGCAGTTTCACAGTCTAAATTAGTTCATACTTACACATGCATGGCTTAATCTTTGAGACAAGCATATGACTACTGGCAGGATCAACCAGGTAACATTCCTAAATGATGCCCCGAGCACGAGCGACGAAAGAACACTCAATGCAACAAAGCAGTCATGCGTAGGACTAGCGTGCCACATTGGCACACGGGGAAAGAAGAAGATGAATTCCAATGCCCCGTGCTTATACCAAATCCAAGAGCCATGCACAACTACTCGTATGCCCAGATCGCAACCAAGGGTTGCACCGAGCACAAGTAGGCGTTTGGCGTCCATCCCACGCACACCCTCGCATACAAACGAGGACGAGCACAGGACGGAAATCGAGAGTTAACATGCAAAATGCCACCCGCAGCGGTATTCGACACCGGAAACCATGGAAAATCGGCCCCAGCAGCACCGAGGCAATCGACACTGAGAAGGCAAGGCGGCAAGACGTCATTGCTACGGCAATGATCCATCTTAACCACCAATGCCGGAGACAACTCACGCACCGTCTTGCATCGCAAACATCAAGTGCAACACAACTTACACCAACAGACCACACGGTTGGAATCGCTCCAAGCATATAGTCCACCACCGCAAGTTGAACGCCATGACACTCGCATCAATAAGTGCGAAAGGGAAAAGACCGAAATAAACCCACTAGTCGCATCGCCAACGAGAGGAGACCGAAACCACATAGAGTAAAGCAACTACTCGTGCCACGCCGTTGCAACCGACCGAAACCGACTAGTGCATACGGCGACCATGCTGAAACCCGGGCAGCGAAAGACCAACGCCGTGGACCGGAGAACCACGACCGAAAACCGAAACCCACATAGAGCAGTACAACTGCTCGTGCCACGCCATTGCAACCGACCGAAACCGACTAGTGCAAATGGCGACCTTACCGAAACCCAAGCAACGGAGAGACCAACGCCGTGGACCGGAGAGCCACGCAAAGAAACCGAAACCCACATCGAGTAGTGCAACTACTCATGCCGCGCCATTGCAACCGACCGAAACCGACTAGTGCAAAAGGCGACCATACCGAAACCCAAGCAGCGGAAGGGACCAACGCCGTGGACCGGAGAACCACGACCGAAAACCGAAACCCACATAGAGCAGTACAACTGCTCGTGCCACGCCATTGCAACCGACCGAAACCGACTAGTGCAAATGGCGACCTTACCGAAACCCAAGCAACGGAGAGACCAACGCCGTGGACCGGAGAGCCACGCAAAGAAACCGAAACCCACATCGAGTAGTGCAACTACTCATGCCGCGCCATTGCAACCAACCGAAACCGACTAGTGCAAGAGGCGACCATACCGAAACCCAAGCAGCGGAAAGACCAACGCCGTGGACCGGAGAACCACAGCCGAAAACCGAAACCCACATCGAGCAGTACAACTACTCATGCCACGCCATTGCAACCGGCCGAAACCGACTAGTTCAAACGGCGACCTTACCGAAACCCAAGCGACGGAGAGACCAACGCCGTGGACCGGAGGGCCACGCAAGGAAACCGAAACCCACATTGAGTAGCGCTACTACTCATGCCACGCCATTGCAAACAACCGAAACCGGCTAGCGCAAACGGCGACCATGCCGAAACCCATGCAGCAGAAAGACCAACGCCGTGGACCGGAGAACCACGGCCGAAAACCGAAACCCACATTGAGTAGTGCCCTATGCCGCGGGGCAACTACTCGTGCCCACCCAACCTGGAAACCGCGGCATTCCAACCAACCGAACCGAAGGAGAGGATAACCAACCCACCGAAACCCACGCGGCGAAAATATCCAACTCCGTGGCATGGGAACCCACGCGGAACCCACGCTGAGAAGCGCCCCATGCCGCGGCGCAACTCTGCCCGTGCCCACCCGTCGAGGAGCACTCCCCCCCTATAGGAGATAAAAAAACATATACACTGAATCTCGGAGTAGCGACATTTTGGCCCGAAAAGGTATAAATTTTTATTTCAATTTCTTTTTCCTTTATTTTTTGCTGAAAAATGCCTAATTGTACACAAAACATTGAAAAATCAATATGTAAATGAGGATTAAACTTAAACTTAATTAAAAAAGTAATAAAATTAATTAATTAATATTTAATTAATTATAAATCTTAAATTTAATTAAAAAATCAATTAATTAATATTTAATTAATGATTAAACATAAACTTAATTAAAAAATTAATGAATTTAATATATTAATATTTACTTAATTACTAAACTTAATTTCAATGTAAAAAATTAATATATTTAATTATTAAACTTAACTCTAATTAAAAAA